GGTTTTCGTTTATCATTATTACCAGTTCATTTTTACGATTGTATTGTTGTATACAAATGACATTTTAGTGTATAAGGATGAGAGTGATGAGATTATCTTTGACTTAACTAAATCGAAACAATAGAAACCCTTCCAGGGAGGCAGGAGTCGGTTCAGAGGAAATGCTGATGCCCTACCTGAACGCTCTCGCCACTTTCCGAGAGAAAGTCAGGAATATTGCCAAAGATAACAAAGTGATCTCAATTTTGGAGGTAATTGCTTTTGTCAATGCGTTTTGTAGCTGGTTGGACAGTTTGCCTAAAAGTTCTTTCTTGCAGGAATGTGATCGATTACGTGACGACGTTCTTCCAGAACTCGGGGTCCGATTAGAGGATCGAACACAGGAGACAGTGGTGAAGCTGTGCGATCGCGATATATTGCTTCGCGAGCGTGAGCAGAAAAGGGCTATAGAAGCAGCGAAACGGGAGGTGAATAGAGAAGAACCTAAACCCATTGTTAGTCAGGAATGACGCAGGTTTACTACTTTTCAGGAGAAGGAACGAAAGGCAGCTGAAAGAGCGGAGAAAGAAGCATTGAAACGAATTCCTCCGCAGGAAATGTTTTGCCGGGGGGACGAAGCTGCAAAATACAGCAAATGGGACGAGAATGGTATTCCAACACACACAGCTGACGGTGAAGAGGTAGAGGCTGTTTTTGTTTTGCTTACACGTTGCTGCAAGCTGCTTGGCGTAAATTATCTCTGCATTCAATTGGTGCAAATCTAGATGGCTGGGGAACGATGTCCTTCGTTCGTTGAAAAAAAAAACCAGTACTTTCTCTGTAATACTATTCGGCTGCATTCATTCGTACGTATTTTTCGTAATCTCGACGTTTCCCTCACATTTTCTTCGATATAAGGGTCTACAGAGTGAAGGTGTACATTTGCTGAAGCACATTAGTGTTCCGAGGCATGATGAATTACAGTTGGATGTAGGATTTTCGTTCGCTTTTTTAATCAATTCGTTCCTTCCAGTTTAACCGCTATCATTTATCATTTTTGGAGATACTGTGGAATTTCTCTGGATGTATCCACTCGTCCCTTATAATCTTTTCCTCGCTTCCTGAAAAAAACTTCAGAGGAATCGCAAATTTTCACTTTTGATTCGATAACTAGGGAAACAACCTTATGTTACCACTATATTATGCACGTCGAAAGGTTGTTTATTATTTGATTTGACGATTGACATATCTCTTTTTTCAGATTTCGAAAAAGCAAAGGAAGAAGTTGGAAAAATTGTGGGAAACACAGCAGAAAAACTACCAGCAGGCTGTCACAAGTGGGAATTAGATGCACTACCTTTTTTGATATTAGGTCATATCAAAAAATTCTTCTTTTGTGGTCTCTCTTCGTTTCCTTTTTTGTAACAAATAGTCGTTTCTGCTAGGGAGTTCGTTTGCCACTTGTTTGCTTTTTCTTCTTGCTTTTCCTTTGCTTTACGGCATTTGGGCCTCTTTTTAGCGCTGCTTTGATTTGTAATCTTAGTGAGGGCATGGTCAAATTTTGAAATACACAGTCTAGTCGACTCCTTTTTTACTATCTTTTCTTACTCATTTATTTAGAAATGTGATCAAAATATTGAAACACGTTTATGGCGTGTTACGACACCCCTCTTTCTTCTTTACGGTCATCTGAGATGTTGTCTGTTGATTTTTGATCTGTTACAGTTTTATAATGATTGTTTTTATTAATTGACAGGTGTTGGAGTTATTTTACGTTGGGGAATGTTAGATACGATTGTAGCTTCCAGTAAATATGTTTTTTGTTCATTACGTACCTCTCTCCTATGTTTCATATCTTCAAGGAACACAGAAAAAATCTTCTTATTCAGAAAAGTAGAGCCACCTGACGCAAAAAAAGCTCTTGCATAACTGACACCTAACGCTTGCTCATAGCTGGCTGCCCGGACTGCTAATCTCTGCTCCGACAATGAGATCTGGAGTAATCTGCATGGATTCGTGCAACTCATTCATATCTCAAAGTGTCGGAGCAATATATCACCACTGACAGGAATTTGATGAAACTTCACAATGCCTCATGGTGTTGTAGCCCGATGCGTTGTAGGGAATTCGCTGACAGCTTAATGCTATGGCACGATAGGCCGAACTGTGAAGTTTAACCGAACAGTGGAAAAGAGCGAAGTCTCTCGGAAAAACTTGGGGTTGAGAAAAAAATCATCTCTTCGTTCTTCTATTCTGCCTCTTGTGACTGGCTCGGTTGCTACGAACATGCAATTGAGCGGGAGATGTTTTTGAAAGGCTAACGTTAGCGTATTCTTCAAAAAAATTGTAAGAAATCTACAACATGCGGCTTACAATACCATCGAGGTACCGTCGCGAAATTTCAGAGTCGGTCACTGGTCGTCGATGCTCGTACCTTGCACTCGAAGTGAATCATTGTGATCTCAACCAGATGACACTANTAAGAAATCTACAACATGCGGCTTCCCATACCATCGGGGTACCGTCGCGAAATTTCAGAGTCGGTCACTGGTCGTCGATGCTCGTACCTTGCACTCGAAGTGAATCATTGTGATCTCAACCAGATGACACTAGCCTTATAAGCCGTCGCCACGAATCCGTCTGTCATCAGTCGGCCGACGTCTGTGTACTCAGTGCCTATGCTTCGTTTTGGTCTCTTAGTGACTGCTCTAGTCGGCGTTTCCCACCAGGAATCACAATCATGCTACGTAGTAAGTTGGCTAAAAAGTCATTCCCGTCAATAAATATTGGGTGGAACAACGATTTTCTTTACAGTGTGCCTCTGAAAGCTTATCCTCGCGGTGGCAAATCACCGGTCTGCCTCGAATGCAAGACAGTTTGTTTGTCGATTGCTCAGGTCAAAATCCTGGCAAACTGCAGATAGAGAGTTGTGCAGGCGGATGCTTCACCTACATGTTCGAGGATCCTGATATACCTCCAAGTTAGTTTTGTCAAAGGAACGATTACTGTAGCCGCAGTTACCGTATGCTTACGGGTCCGTGGACCGGTGAACACTGATCGAGGTCAATTAAAATACCAAACACAGATTTTCTCACTGAACATGGATGTTTGATAAGGCGCAGTTCACGATAAAAATGGCTTACGAGATAGCACGCTAGGATAAATTTGTTACTCATTCATATACAGTATGCAACTTTGTCAGGTCGGAAAAGACAGGGCGTTATAAAGGCTCATCAGCGTTGCGGAGGCTGCAACATTCGCAAGAGAACCCATGTAGGAGGTTCGAACAACATAACCCATTGCGACAGTGAAAGGCAATTCTGGGCAGTTTTGGCTTGATGTAGTCAGCGCTCTTTGCGCAACTGCAACAACTGAAATCTCGTCCGAATATCGCTCCCATATCATTCCCATCATGGTAATCTCGTCTCTATTTTCACCACTTTTGAGGAGCCTTGTTTTTCGCAAAATGGGCGAATTTTCTCGCTTCTTTCACCATCGATGCACTAATCCCAACCGATAATTCCGCTTTTGATTTGAAGAGGGTAACTCAAAATTATCTTAGACTGTGCTTTTAATGGCAGGGGCACATCTTCCACAGCTTTCCTCTGGTTTTTCGATTTTCGCAAACCTGTCTTAGGGTTTTGCTTTGCGTTGCTGGTTTATAAAAAACCTGCCACAAGCTCTATTACTGATTTCGAAGCAACTAAGTGCTATCCCTTCTGTTCAATATAACTCTGTGCTATGCCCGTCACGGAATATTGGAATAGCGCCGATTCTATCATAGAGATTTCATGCTAATTTTTGAAGTCTTATTCCTTTTTTTGGCTCTTTAACTTTAACTGTAAATGGGAGTATAGAGAGATACTAATAGTGGCTGTAGCCATTAATTTGCAATATTGCGTAGTGTAATTCAGTGTGGCCATACTATACGAAAGATGCAGCCTAGGCGATATGTTTCTACGATTTTTGATGATAGAATGGTTCCAAATCTGCCATCACACTGCCAGAAGCTCCGAAATTTCATTTTCATCACCAACAGTAAAGCTCCGTGCCCTGAAATCATGGCCGCTGAAAAACTTCGCTCTCACTCGGTAGAGTACTGTAAGTTGTAGATGGGGCAGGGATTGGTCAACAATAAACAAGCTCGCCTATGATTCACAGAATTGTTAGCGTTATATGGAAGTAAGCCTCGAGCCAAACAACAAAAGTGACGCACCATTTTTAACTCAAAACTGGATAGCACAAACAGGAAGATACAGTTATGGGAAAGTAGTGCTTTAGACCACGGTTACATAATGGGAGTGGCAGTGAAGTCAATGATGAATGCAGTAGAGATAAGGTTGACAGGATCTGATCCTACTGCCAAGCAACCACCCATTCATTCATCCATTCATTCGTTCATTCATTTATTCAACCGTTTGCCACGAATTAAAAGTCTCCCATGTAGAGCGTCCAATACGAGCTGGAAAACGCCTGGTTTGGAGACCATCGTGATGCTTTTAGCGTGAAGACTGAACTCCCCTTATCTGTATTAGCTGGGGGTAAGCTCTATTGATTTGTAGAGCTATTTTAAAAGATAAGAAGATAAAGTCTTGGGGCTTTGATCAATCCCATCTGAGAGATGCGCCCACGCATTCGACTTCCATTCAGAATCGTAGTAGCGTAATGAGTGCGTATGTGGCCTATATAATGACTCGCGGTTGCGAGCCGTGTACGAGCCAGTGCTTTTATCCTCCCAGACGAGTCTGGTACCACTTCACCGACCCCGGAGGGATGGAAGGCTTGGTTGGTCCAGGCGGGCATCGAGCCGGGATTCGAACCCGTGACCGTGCGCGTGTGAAGTATGCCACTCGCCACTACACCGCCTACGCCCCAAAGCTAATTTAGTTAATTTAATTAAGTTTGTGCCAAATTTCTGTTTATTGTCCCAATCACCCCGTTTGCGGTGTACTTTGTGGGTATAGAACTGAATAAATTAGCGAACCTTATCCTGAACTATACCGTAAGAGGTACTTTGATAGCCAAGACGGCAGAAGATTAACTCAGAATGATGTATATTTCGTATCGAAATCGCAGTTCTCGACGACTGACGTTACTGTAATTTTCTGCACAGCTAGCGAATTCTTTCACCATATTTAAAGGACTCTATTCGTTCCAGATCAGGGCGGGAATGTGATGTTGGTGGTGAGAGGATGTCACACTGCTATTACGACGGTAATTCGTTATGGATTCTTTGGAGGGAAGTGATCTGGTTTACGTCATAAACTTCATTCATTCAGGTGGTCTCTAATCGAACGAGTGCTATCGGTGGTGGCTCTTACTGTGAATATGACGCTACTCATCCGATGTCAAATAGTAAAGGAGAGCAGGTCTCAGTAAGAGCTCTCACCGAATTCTGCGGGTTCGTTTAACACTCTCACATTTTCTGCCCATTCTGAGCCTGCTGAAAAATTAGGATTGACTCATTGAGGCATATCCTTTTACCATTGTTGCTGACTTGGACGTCTTTTCCTAAACTGAGAGCCTATTGACGTTTAAATTTCTTCCCGAATGCTTTGAACTTCTTTCCGAATAGCGAATCTGTGACATAAAATGTTAGTTCCTATCCTCAACCTTGAAAAGTACTTCTTNCTCCTCAAAAAGGTGCAAATGTGTCAGCAGATGGCCAAGTGCATATAAATTTATCACATAGTTTTTCGTTAAGTGAAGAAAATTTACTTTACCCAAATTATGGTAACCTCTATCGGGAGGGAAGGGGAGGGTAGGAATGCGTGCGACTTTAAGTAACGTGCTCCTTACAGCTCTACAAACTGCAATACTCGTCAGTCCACCTCCACCAACGTCTTCGTCGACTGCAACCAGCAGACAGTGGACACCTGTCTGTCATCAAACGTTCTCTTTTTTACCAAAAGCAACGCTTACAAGTCTCATTTCAGTACTGGGAGGCGAAGTGCTAAACTGCTATGAGTGCACTCCTCGATCGGGTGAGAATTGCCATGACAAAGAACGTAAATGTTCGTCGAAGAAGTACTGCACAAAGCAAACGGTGCAACTTGGAAGTGAGACGAATTCCCTCAGTTGGTTTACCTATCGATTGAATAGAAGAGTTTGTTTTCAGGTGGATTCCAGGTAGTCAAGTCCTGCTCAAACATCAATATCATCGGTCAGGACAACAGCTGTGTCAGCTACGATGTTGTGACGAATCCTGGAGGAGTTGCTGTTCGAAATAAGTACACGCAGTGTTACTGTCGTAATAAGCAGTTTTGCAACGGAGCATCGACATCGGTGTCAGCTCTTGCCATCATCGCTGTCAGTTCATGGCTTCTTCACTGGAGTTGATCATTAGCAACCCATTTGTCCCTTGAATAAATCGTTCAGATGAGTTGTTGTCGCTCTACTTCTATTTCACCCTCACTGTGTTGAATGGACTTCTTGGATCCAAGCCTTTATAGCCATTTCGCATTATCGATCGCGTTTTCTGGGATGCGCCACAACAGCAGAATTCTGTTCAAAATCCTGCATATGGAGCTTTTGAGAGAGTCCATTCCAAGTGGTAGCCACTGCGATTTTTTCGAGGAAAAAGTAGAGAAAATGTCATCAAGCGAGAAGAGAATATATTAATATGAGGTAGGCTAGGCGGAGATCGCAATGACTTTTTCCTTGACTCGCAAACTTCCTTGGCCTACTGGAGAAACAGACGAGTGATGAGAGTAGCTTCTGACCAATAATCCATTTGAAAACGAGCTTAGAAGGGTAAAGGTAATAGAGGCGCAGCGCCACGATCACGGCATAGGAAGCAAGCGATTTCATGGGATGGACTAGATCGAGACTAGCGGCATCAGTGTTGACTAATCCAGAGTTTTATGACGAAGCATCGTTCCAACTTTATCTTAATTTCACTTGTTTGGTTTGTTTAGTTTTATTTTTTCTTTTCTTTCTTTTATGCTGTACGATTGTTTTCCACGAACAGCCATATGTCCCAATACAGCGCGTCATGGAACGCATAAATAAATAAATAAAT